TGGCTGACGGGCTGGCTGGCTGGATGTTGACGGGAAGCCAAGCGATTGCGATGGCAGTCAAGCCAATCAAGTGAAGCCGAGTAAAGTTAGGTGAGAGAAGGACACTGCTTGTTGATGGAATTGATGTGATTGGAGAGGGCGTGTGTTGGCTGGATAATTATAATTATAATAACAATAATGAGCATAATGAATTGACTGACCTGGTGTTGTTGACTCGAATTGAAGCGTGGTTGTCAACTGTTGATCAGTGCCTTCCGACTGAGTGCTTTCTGACTGATCTGTGACTGGTTGTGTTTCTGTGCAGGGAGTTAGGGAGGGAGAGATAGCGAGAGAGATTGAGTGGGTGAGCGAGCGAGCGAGCTAGCGATGGAGCGTTGGATTTATTTATTGAGATTTGACTTTCGGTTGATTGTGTGATTGCTTGTCTGTGTGATTGTGTGTCTGAGTGTGCGAGTGTGCGTGAGTGTGTCTGACTGACTGAGTTACTTCAGGTTAGTTTGGGTGGTGCTTGGGTGTTTTGTGGTGTGTGGTAGGCGGAGTTGAGTGGCTGGTGGTTGATGCATGATGCTAGACTTCTGGTTGGCTGAATGGCTGGCTGGGTGGCTGACGGGCTGGCTGGCTGGATGTTGACGGGAAGCCAAGCGATTGCAATGGCAATCAAGCAAATCAAGTGAAGCCGAGTAAAGTTAGGTGAGAGAAGGACACTGCTTGTTGATGGAATTGATGTGATTGGAGAGGGCGTGTGTTGGCTGGATAATTATAATTATAATAACAATAATGAGCATAATGAATAGACTGACCTGGTGTTGTTGACTCGAATTGAAGCGTGGTTGTCAACTGTTGATCAGTGCCTTCCGACTGAGTGCTTTCTGACTGATCTGTGACTGGTTGTGTTTCTGTGAAGGGAGTTAGGAAGGGAGAGATAGCGAGAGATATTGAGTGGGTGAGCGAGCGAGCGAGCGAGCGATGGAGCGTTGGATTTATTTATTGAGATTTGACTTTCGGTTGATTGTGTGATTGCTTGTCTGTGTGATTGTGTGTCTGAGTGTGCGAGTGTGCGTGAGTGTGTGTGCCTGACTGAGTTACTTCAGGTTAGTTTGGGTGGTGCTTGGGTGTTTTGTGGTGTGTGGTAGGCGGAGTTGAGTGGCTGGTGGTTGATGCATGATGCTAGACTTCTGGTTGGCTGAATGGCTGGCTGGGTGGCTGACGGGCTGGCTGGCTGGATGTTGACGGGAAGCCAAGCGATTGCGATGGCAGTCAAGCCAATCAAGTGAAGCCGAGTAAAGTTAGGTGAGAGAAGGACACTGCTTGTTGATGGAATTGATGTGATTGGAGAGGGCGTGTGTTGGCTGGATAATTATAATTATAATAACAATAATGAGCATAATGAATTGACTGACCTGGTGTTGTTGACTCGAATTGAAGCGTGGTTGTCAACTGTTGATCAGTGCCTTCCGACTGAGTGCTTTCTGACTGATCTGTGACTGGTTGTGTTTCTGTGCAGGGAGTTAGGGAGGGAGAGATAGCGAGAGAGATTGAGTGGGTGAGCGAGCGAGCGAGCGAGCGATGGAGCGTTGGATTTATTTATTGAGATTTGACTTTCGGTTGATTGTGTGATTGCTTGTCTGTGTGATTGTGTGTCTGAGTGTGCGAGTGTGCGTGAGTGTGTCTGACTGACTGAGTTACTTCAGGTTAGTTTGGGTGGTGCTTGGGTGTTTTGTGGTGTGTGGTAGGCGGAGTTGAGTGGCTGGTGGTTGATGCATGATGCTAGACTTCTGGTTGGCTGAATGGCTGGCTGGGTGGCTGACGGGCTGGCTGGCTGGATGTTGACGGGAAGCCAAGCGATTGCGATGGCAGTCAAGCCAATCAAGTGAAGCCGAGTAAAGTTAGGTGAGAGAAGGACACTGCTTGTTGATGGAATTGATGTGATTGGAGAGGGCGTGTGTTGGCTGGATAATTATAATTATAATAACAATAATGAGCATAATGAATTGACTGACCTGGTGTTGTTGACTCGAATTGAGGCGTGGTTGTCAACTGTTGATCAGTGCCTTCCGACTGAGTGCTTTCTGACTGATCTGTGACTGGTTGTGTTTCTGTGCAGGGAGTTAGGAAGGGAGAGATAGCGAGAGATATTGAGTGGGTGAGCGAGCGAGCGAGCGAGCGATGGAGCGTTGGATTTATTTATTGAGATTTGACTTTCGGTTGATTGTGTGATTGCTTGTCTGTGTGATTGTGTGTCTGAGTGTGCGAGTGTGCGTGAGTGTGTGTGCCTGACTGAGTTACTTCAGGTTAGTTTGGGTGGTGCTTGGGTGTTTTGTGGTGTGTGGTAGGCGGAGTTGAGTGGCTGGTGGTTGATGCATGATGCTAGACTTCTGGTTGGCTGAATGGCTGGCTGGGTGGCTGACGGGCTGGCTGGCTGGATGTTGACGGGAAGCCAAGCGATTGCGATGGCAGTCAAGCCAATCAAGTGAAGCCGAGTAAAGTTAGGTGAGAGAAGGACACTGCTTGTTGATGGAATTTATGCGATTGGAGAGGGTGTGTGTTGGCTGGATAATTATAATAATAATAACAATAATGAGCATAATGAATTGACTGACCTGGTGTTGTTGACTCGAATTGAGGCGTGGTTGTCAACTGTTGATCAGTGCCTTCCGACTGAGTGCTTTCTGACTGATCTGTGACTGGTTGTGTTTCTGTGCAGGGAGTTAGGAAGGGAGAGATAGCGAGAGATATTGAGTGGGTGAGCGAGCGAGCGAGCGAGCGATGGAGCGTTGGATTTATTTATTGAGATTTGACTTTCGGTTGATTGTGTGATTGCTTGTCTGTGTGATTGTGTGTCTGAGTGTGCGAGTGTGCGTGAGTGTGTGTGCCTGACTGAGTTACTTCAGGTTAGTTTGGGTGGTGCTTGGGTGTTTTGTGGTGTGTGGTAGGCGGAGTTGAGTGGCTGGTGGTTGATGCATGATGCTAGACTTCTGGTTGGCTGAATGGCTGGCTGGGTGGCTGACGGGCTGGCTGGCTGGATGTTGACGGGAAGCCAAGCGATTGCGATGGCAGTCAAGCCAATCAAGTGAAGCCGAGTAAAGTTAGGTGAGAGAAGGACACTGCTTGTTGATGGAATTTATGCGATTGGAGAGGGTGTGTGTTGGCTGGATAATTATAATAATAATAACAATAATGAGCATAATGAATTGACTGACCTGGTGTTGTTGACTCGAATTGAGGCGTGGTTGTCAACTGTTGATCAGTGCCTTCCGACTGAGTGCTTTCTGACTGATCTGTGACTGGTTGTGTTTCTGTGCAGGGAGTTAGGAAGGGAGAGATAGCGAGAGATATTGAGTGGGTGAGCGAGCGAGCGAGCGAGCGATGGAGCGTTGGATTTATTTATTGAGATTTGACTTTCGGTTGATTGTGTGATTGCTTGTCTGTGTGATTGTGTGTCTGAGTGTGCGAGTGTGCGTGAGTGTGTGTGCCTGACTGAGTTACTTCAGGTTAGTTTGGGTGGTGCTTGGGTGTTTTGTGGTGTGTGGTAGGCGGAGTTGAGTGGCTGGTGGTTGATGCATGATGCTAGACTTCTGGTTGGCTGAATGGCTGGCTGGGTGGCTGACGGGCTGGCTGGCTGGATGTTGACGGGAAGCCAAGCGATTGCGATGGCAGTCAAGCCAATCAAGTGAAGCCGAGTAAAGTTAGGTGAGAGAAGGACACTGCTTGTTGATGGAATTGATGTGATTGGAGAGGGTGTGTTTTGGCTGGATAATTATAATAATAATAACAATAATGAGCATAATGAATTGACTGACCTGGTGTTGTTGACTCGAATTGAGGCGTGGTTGTCAACTGTTGATCAGTGCCTTCCGACTGAGTGCTTTCTGACTGATCTGTGACTGGTTGTGTTTCTGTGAATGGAGTTAGGGAGGGAGAGATAGCGAGAGATATTGAGTTGGTGAGCGAGCGAGCGAGCGAGCGATGGAGCGTTGGATTTATTTATTGAGATTTGACTTTCGGTTGATTGTGTGATTGCTTGTCTGTGTGATTGTGTGTCTGAGTGTGCGAGTGTGCGTGAGTGTGTGTGCCTGACTGAGTTACTTCAGGTTAGTTTGGGTGGTGCTTGGGTGTTTTGTGGTGTGTGGTAGGCGGAGTTGAGTGGCTGGTGGTTGATGCATGATGCTAGACTTCTGGTTGGCTGAATGGCTGGCTGGGTGGCTGACGGGCTGGCTGGCTGGATGTTGACGGGAAGCCAAGCGATTGCGATGGCAGTCAAGCCAATCAAGTGAAGCCGAGTAAAGTTAGGTGAGAGAAGGACACTGCTTGTTGATGGAATTGATGTGATTGGAGAGGGTGTGTTTTGGCTGGATAATTATAATAATAATAACAATAATGAGCATAATGAATTGACTGACCTGGTGTTGTTGACTCGAATTGAAGCGTGGTTGTCAACTGTTGATCAGTGCCTTCCGACTGAGTGCTTTCTGACTGATCTGTGACTGGTTGTGTTTCTGTGAATGGAGTTAGGGAGGGAGAGATAGCGAGAGATATTGAGTTGGTGAGCGAGCGAGCGAGCGAGCGATGGAGCGTTGGATTTATTTATTGAGATTTGACTTTCGGTTGATTGTGTGATTGCTTGTCTGTGTGATTGTGTGTCTGAGTGTGCGAGTGTGCGTGAGTGTGTGTGCCTGACTGAGTTACTTCAGGTTAGTTTGGGTGGTGCTTGGGTGTTTTGTGGTGTGTGGTAGGCGGAGTTGAGTGGCTGGTGGTTGATGCATGATGCTAGACTTCTGGTTGGCTGAATGGCTGGCTGGGTGGCTGACGGGCTGGCTGGCTGGATGTTGACGGGAAGCCAAGCGATTGCAATGGCAGTCAAGCCAATCAAGTGAAGCCGAGTAAAGTTAGGTGAGAGAAGGACACTGCTTGTTGATGGAATTGATGTGATTGGAGAGGGTGTGTTTTGGCTGGATAATTATAATAATAATAACAATAATGAGCATAATGAATTGACTGACCTGGTGTTGTTGACTCGAATTGAGGCGTGGTTGTCAACTGTTGATCAGTGCCTTCCGACTGAGTGCTTTCTGACTGATCTGTGACTGGTTGTGTTTCTGTGAAGGGAGTTAGGAAGGGAGAGATAGCGAGAGAGATTGAGTGGGTGAGCGAGCGAGCGAGCGAGCGATGGAGCGTTGGATTTATTTATTGAGATTTGACTTTCGGTTGCTTGTTTTTTTGGTTGTCTGTCTGTTTGTGTTTCTGTGTGTGTGTGTTGGTATTGGTGTGTTTGTGTCTGACTGTGTGTTAGTTTGTGTGATGCGTGTGTGTTTTTGGTGTTTGTTGGGCGCATTTGTATGAGTTGGTTGGTGGTGGTTGAGGCGAAATGCTGGCTGGCTGACTGGTTCGCTGGATGTTTTCGGAAGCCAAGTGACAGCAATGCCAGTCGAGCCAATGAAGTCAATCCAAGTAGTGTTTAGTGAGTGAAGGACACTGCTGGTCGATGGAATTGATGTGATTGGAGAGGGCGTGTGTTGGCTGAATAATAATATTAATGATAACAATAATAATATTAGTAATTTTAAGAATATATATGATAATAATGAACTTGATGAATTGACTGACCTGGTGTTGTTGACTCGAATTGAGGCGTGGTTGTCAACTGTTGATTAGTGGCTTCCGACTGAGTGCTTTCTGATTGATCTGTGACTGATTTTGTTTCTGCGGATGGGAAGAGTATATTTACGGAAATGAAGATTTTGTGAGAATGATATTTTATGAGACAGCCTAATATATACAGTGTAATTGCGAAACATCAAATGAGCCTAATTCACTCTTTTTTTGATGCAGTGAGACATAGCGATTCGCATGAGGATATTTTATGTGACTGATACAGAATTGGTGGGTTGATTTCGCACTTTCATGTTCAATTCTGAATGATGTGGAGAATGACCATATGGATGAGGATGTTGATGATGCTAATTCTGATGAGTGTTGTTTTCTGGCAACTTGAAGGAAATCGATTGAGATGGAGATTTGAGCTTGTGAGGAGTTGTTGGGCCAGATGAAGTGGACTGCAGTGGACAAGAGAAAATGAGAATGTGCTGTTGATATCTGGTGTTCCCCTCAGGACTCATGGCAATAATATGACGTTTATATATATAAGCCTATGAAACATTGAAATGAATCACTTACGTGTCCGCTTCATCACTGACAAAGCATCATTGATGCGCAGATTCAGTGTATTATATTCACTATAATAGCCAATCTTCACTAATTCAACTAATGACAGTCGCATTATTACTGCAGCTCTGTTTATGCCCGGAAAGCAAGCAACTACTGCTTTATCAATTCCGGGATACACTTTTGAAAGTGTTGTTTTATGCTAAAACAAAAAGAGGGGGGAAGAAACCAGATCAGAAAATAATTTTTAATAAAAATAATTTTGCAGATCCCTTCTCAATTCATTCCTGTGCCTTCTGAGTAGAACATAGGGCTATTTTTAGCTCCTGAGTTTCGATAGTGCTTGCATTGTTTTCATGAGGTGGGGTCGTTAACTTCACTCATGCCTAGACTTTCCTAGACGAGGCTTATGTGGATACCGATTGGCAATCGAATCTGAGTCACATGAGGCGTGGGAGGCGAACATTCTACTCCTGGATCATCGATGCATCTTGAGGAAATAAAATTCATTACCGACTAAAAGGCATATGGATAATACTGATAGAGAATTGTAACACTCTGATTCAACGTAAAGGCAGTGTTAACGATGTTATCTAGTAAGACAATGAAAGCTTAGATCAATAACACCCGAAGAATTCACCTGAGATAAATATCTCGGACATTATATATAAATATATATATATACATTTGTACATCGTCCGGGTTCGAACCCTGGTTGAAAAACTCACAAACTTATCTAGATTGTGTGACCTTATTCCATAAAACGAAACGAAACCACCGCTTTCTGTTCGGGTTCAAATTGAGCGCCTGGCATCTGAGATGTTACTTAGTGGTAACATCAGAATGTGACCACATTCGCTGGGTGACAGGTTGTCACTTGGTTATTTGTCAAAGTTTTTGCTACTTGTCCTTCCCAGCCGGCCATTCAATATTCAACATCAAACTATCTGAGGCAGTTGTCGATGAGAGTTTGCACTACCCTGGGTAGAAATGCTTCTGCTGAAGAGACTACCAAATCTCTGAGCCATACAAAAGCGCCAACTTAACTTCACTGTTGAAAATTCGGACATTGTTTCTTGAGCTGAGTGTGGTACATTTTCACATTGATTTCGGAGCAATGACAGTCTTTTTAGCACTTAGATTAGGTGTATTGAGCATAACACAGCTATGCTTGCCAAAATATTATTCCGTATTTAACATAAGTCTGTCTTCCATTTGGAAGATGGGGGAACCAATGTCAGAGACAATAATAATATGCCATCATGAATAAAGTCACTTTTCATTTGTCAATTTAAGAAAAAAAGAAGAAATATTATAAACGCTAACTTTGTTGCATAATTCTGTGAGATTTGAATTCCTAGGTTCTCGTAATTGGATGTCAAGTACACCTAAAATAAATCACGGAAGATTTTTAGAAAAATTAGATGAGAAAACGTAAAAATCTTCTTTTTTAACGTTTTACTTTCGTCAGCAATTATCTCTCTGAAAACCAATGAGAGTTGAGGGCAACTGTTTTATTTCAATTTGTGGCTTCTTGACAGTGCATACTTCGAAAACTCATGACTAATTGAATTCCTGGACCTTCAAGCCATCATATCTAAACACACCAACTTTTTAGATACCAGATTAGAATCACTGATTGGTTTATGGGTGGTTGACACTGAAGAGCTTCAAAATGGGACGAAACAACTGTCAAATGATGTCAGTTCATCAGGAAGTCTACAGTGAAGTTCATTTTATAATGTACAAAACATATCAATTTTGGCGGACGCATTTGGGCACCTTTGTAAATAGTGTTCGTTTCATTATTCTTTCACTTCAATATCATCTGTTGACCATCTAACAGCTCTTTAATTCGCTCAAACGTTCGCTGTGCCTCTTCCGTCCACATGAATTTTGCGTCAGTCAGCAACGTATATAGCGGTTTTGCTATCTCATTGAAATTTTTGACAAATCGGCTGTAGAATGCCGCTCTTCCCAAAAACTGTCTCAGCTTTCGCTTTGAATTTGGCACTTCGCTGGTTTTGACCGTCAGGATTTTCTCAGTTAATGGCCGTATTTCTCCATTTCCCAGGAGGAAAACCGTGTTTTTAGCTATTTGGGACTTGTTCTTATTAATCCGCAGTCCAAAGTCATCAATTCTCTTTAAGATAGCTTCGATGTGGTCTATATGGTCGCTTTCCGTCTCACTATACACCACCAAGTCATCTCTATATACTTCTACTTTCTTCAGACCCTTCGGTAATAAGGTCATTAATCTTCTGAATGTAAATGGGGCACCTACCAATCCAAATGACATTCGTTTAAACTGGTACTGTTTCTGCCCAACTGTGAAAGCTGTTTTACTTCGATCACTTTCTGTTATTGGGATCTGCCAGTAACTCGATCGTAGGTCGAACACGGTGAATAACTTGGCTTTATGAAGGCGATCAAGGGTTTCTGGTACGGTAGGCATTGCACACTGTTTTACTTCGGTGAGGCTATTCATCTGTTTGAAATCGACACAAAATCTATACTTCCCGTCCGTTTTCTTTACCAAAAGGATTGGCGAACTGTACGGGCTGTCGGCTTCTTCGATTATTCCGTCGTTTAACATTTGTCTGACTTGTCGGTTAACTTCTTCTTTTAGGTGAACCGGAACTCGTCGCGATGAAAAGACTGTCTTCCCCAGATCCTTCAGTATTTTACCTTATCAAAATAACCGAACGGGTCTCCATCACTAGTGAATAAGCCGGCATATTTACTCATCAACGTGGTTAGACGTGGTGCATCTTGCGGAACAATGGTTGTGGTTTCCACCTCAGCCACTTCACTATTCTCATGTATCGCAAATTGCCGGTGTTTTGTGACCACTTTTCTATTCTTCATATCGATTACAGCTCCTAATTCTCTGAGAAAGTCTGCTCCCAAAATCGTTCGTCTTATATCAGAAGTCACAATAAACAGATATCGTATTTTCCCTGCTCCAATCTCTACAACGCAGTCTGAAACACCAAGAATGTGCAAAGGATGTCCTCCTACGGTCTGAACTGCTAATGTGCATGGCCTTATTTCCTTACACTGTTCTCTATCTATCAACGAAACTGCGGCCCCTGTGTCGATCAAACAAACTAGTGCTTTTTGGTTAACCCGTAATCTCCCGTACACTGAACCTCTTTCGACTAATTCGACCACCTCCAAACGCGAGCGAGAAAATGAAGAAAGGTTGTACCATTCTAAGTTTTTTTGCCTTCGTTTCGGGCAGTTTCTCTGCCAGTGACCGGTTCCTCGCCAGCAAAACATCTGTTGTTTTGTCTTTTCCTTATCTGCATAGCCGCCACCTGCTGTTTCAACTCTTCAATCTGGTCTTCTACCTTCTTGGAATCTTGGAACTCCATCATCACTGGAGCAACATGCGAAGTCATTATCTGCCTTGTCACCTTTGCCATTTCATAAACATCCATTGGTTGAGCTGCGTTAACTAGCTGCAACTGATGAGCGATATTTGTCGGGACGTATTCGAGGAACTGAGATGCAAGCAACTGCTCCCGTCCAGGGTGGGTAACGCGCGTCGTAGGTGATTCGTTAGCGCTACTGCGAGAACCAACCCATCCCCATCCTAGCCAAGTTTCAGCGTCCGAAAATTCTGCAGTGCCTCTTGTCTGTCGCAGAGCTGTCGAACCCGCCTTTAAGCTTTTCGACGGCCTTGACCCACGCCGCCTCACCTTCCAGCTCCCGAGAATTGTCGTACGCAGCCTTTGTGCGACCCCTCAGCAGAGTTCCCAAGACAACCAGCTTCGCCTTCTGCTCCTGCACTCCAACCAGCTCCGCGACAGCTTCGACATCCCTGAGGAACGTTCACACATCTCCCTCCTCGAACACCTGCGGCCACGGCATCTTTATCTCCGGCAGAAGCAGCGACACCAAATGTAAAGACGAAAAGTCCGAGGAGGCTGGTAGGAATGTTTCCGTGGTGAAACGTATTGTACATAGGTAAATTTGGAATACCATATTTTCAAACTGCCATTTGCACATCATTTACCACATCCTTGACGAATTGGTCGAATATCGTCACATTCGATAGCTTCTTGGATTCTGCATCATATGGCAACATTCTTCTCATGGTTCTCTTCTTTGATCGCTCTTTCCAGTGTGCAAAACATATTGTTACTCTTCTGAATTCGCTTTCTGATATACTACTTATTTGGATTATAAGTAGCACTCACTACAGCATTACCACTCAGATTGATCAACACACGACTGATCTCCTGTATGAATGCAAGGAAGGAATTTATTGATCTTGCAGGATAACCGAATTGCATATGTCTAGTCCTGAGTTTTTACTGTCCAATACCTCCTGCTAGTCACGTTTGCACATCATCTTTTCTCGAAGGAGTAACAATTATCACAAAATTTATATTCATGACTTCCTGTCGACTGCTTCTTAACCGTCGCCTAATATCAAAGTGCAGCAAAATATAGTGAATCACTTAGCCTAATCAGACCGAATTAGAAACTTCACCAATAAAATTCACTCAGCATTGATGCTATAAACTGGACACACAATATTAACTTCACATTTTTATTCGTGAGTAATTTAATAATAATAATAATAATGACTTAGGCGTTTAAAAGATGAAGTATTGGCAGGTGTCTCACCTTTGACGAGGTTTGATGGCTCTGAAAGTTAAAAAAAGAAATCAGTGATATTCTCAGAAAATTTTTTATCTCCCGAGATCAGTCACGCAATGTGTGATACTTATAAACAGATTTAAGTAATTTCTCCAGTAATATTTTTACGTAGAATATGATAATTTATATGTCCATGGAAAAGGTCAGATAAAACAGAGACTTGAGAAGAAGGTAACACAGTAGACTGGGGTTGGAATCCGCTCAGAAACAGAATTTAGTCTTTATTTGCACGATTACAATTTAAGATTAATGATTTTCTCAATACCTATTGCATTTCATCAGGATAAATTTCACTTCTGACCTCAACAGTCTTGTTCACTTCATTGGGATATTCTCTGACTGCACACACAGCCATCCCCACATGTCTATACAAGTATAATGATAATTCTGTTTCACGACTAAGAGTCTCGAGAAACAATGATTATTTAAGAGTCACCGGATAGTATCAACAGTCCTTCAAAAGTGTTGATTGATTTATGACATAAATTTTATCGCAAATTTTAGAGGAGAACATCAGGCTACTGTGTGTGTGTGTGTTAGTGGCTCGGTTTATGACATTCCTGTAGAAGTTGTAATGAAACTTTTGTGACCATTGAAGTTGGATGTAAGGGTATTATCAGTTAAGGCATAATCTGTTGTGTTGCCTCCTGCCCACATAATTCTGCAAGGACAGCTTTTTATTTAACCCATTTATTTGTCAGTATGGCCATCACAAAATTTAGAAAACATCATTATCAATGACTTTATCGAAGAAACATAAGTTTAAAAGACTGTAGTGCACCGTCTAGCCACCTCAACTGTTATGAGTATATTTATTATTATTATTATTCCCTTGGGTTCCTAGTGGAACATAGGGCTTCAACTGCACGTCTCCACTTGTTCCTCTCTTCTGCTGTACTTTTCACCTGCATCCATGTTAGTCCATACTGTTTCAACTCCTCTTCACACGATCTCCTCCATGTCAGCCTTGGAAGTCGCACTCGCCGCTTCCCTTTCGGGTTCCACTCGAGCTATTGCCTGACGCGCGATGTCACCCAGCGGCCTCCTCATCGAGTGTCCGATCCATCTCCACTTCTTTCTCCTGCATATTTGTTAGGCGATTGGTTCTTGTTTTGTTTCTTCCCATAGTTTCTTGTTGGTAATTCTTCCCGGCGGCCATCTGATCTTCAGTAGTATAGAGCGAAGACAGTTGTTGATAAAGGTCTGCAACAGGCTGTTGGAAATATTCTTTGTGACCCGCCAAGTTTCTTATCCATCCGTATAGAAGAACTGACTGACTTGACGTTTGTATTGAAAATCCGAATCATTTTGTTGTTGATGCTGAGTGACAGCGGAAGATTTCCAGATTGGTTTCAGGTTGATGAATGTGTTTCTCGCCTTCCCGATTCTCGATTTGACATCCTCGTCCGTTCCTCCTGTAGTTGAGACAATGCTCCCTCCCTAGATAAGTGAATGAAGTAACCTCTTTCAAATCCCTCCCGTTGATGGTGATTGGCGCTGGATGTTGCTGCTGCTGCTGTTGTTGTTGTTGGTTGGTTGGTTATTTTCATAACCTCCGTCTTGTCTATGTTCACCTGGAGTCCTGTCTTCTCTGGCTGCTTCTTCAACCAGTTTGTCGGTTTTCACTTGTAAGTCTTCGATTTTGTGTGACATCAAACATAAATCATCCACGCGCGAAATCCAGGTCTTCTAGATTCTTCACGTCGGTCGGTCAGGATATCCCTGTCTTCTCGTTTCCCACTGTCTGACGCATAATCCAGTCCACCACAATTAGGAATATCATTGGTGATAATAAGCACCCTTGTCTGACTCCTGTGTTTACTCCAAACGCCTCGCTGAATTTTCCGTTGTGGATCACTTGACATGTGCCGTTGTCGTACAGCTGTTGAATAAGGTTGATGAATATTTGGGGTACGCCGTAGTACTCGAGTAGTTTCCAAATTACTTCGCGGTCAACGCTGTCGAAGGCCTTCTCAAAGTCTATAAAGTTGAGGTGGAGGTTTGATTGCCATTCCATGCTTTGTTCTGTGATGATGATGCGTAGAGTTGCAATTTGGTCAGAACATGATTTGCCTTTCCTGAATCCAGCTTGTTCTGGTCGGAATTCTGCATCCAGTGCGTCATTTATTCTCTCCAGATGATGCGACTCAGGATTTTACTTGGCGTCGACAGGAGCATGATTCCTCGCCAGTTCTTGCAGAGTCCTAAGTCGCCCTTCTTTGGTAGTTTCACAAGGTAACCTTTCCTCCAGTCAGTAGGCACCTTTCCCTCCTTCCAGACCTTTTGCAATAATGGAGTCAGCATATCCACTGTCGTTTCTGGGTCCGCTTTCAGTGCTTCCGGGGGTATTCCATCTGGTCCAGCTGCTTTTCCAGCTTTCAGAAGCTTGACTGTATTCAAGACTTCAGCTTTCGTTGGAGGATCGGTGTCAACTTGCAGTTGTGTACGTGCTGTTGTTGGCATTTCTGGACGGGTTGCAGGTGGTGGTCTGTTCAAGAGTCTTTTGAAGTGGTCCACCCATTGTTTAATCTGTCTTTCTTCCTTGGTAATTGGGTTCCCTTGGCTGTCTTTTATAGTTTTCACTTGTGTTGATCTCTTCCCGGATAAAGACTTGGTTATCTGATATAGTGTCCTCAGGTCCCTTTTGCCTGCTACCTTCTCAGCTTCAGTGGCCAGATTGTTGTGGAATTGTCTTTTGTCCTTCCTGGCACTCTTCTTCACTTCTTTGTCCAGTGCTGTGTAAGTTGAACTCAGCGTCTCTTTCTCTTGTTCATCTTTGCATTGAATCATTTTCTCTTTCACCATTCTCCTCTCCTCTATTAGCTTCTAAGTGTCCGTTGAGAGCCATTCCTTGTCTTGTTTCTTCTTTCTTCCTAAAACCGTTGAGCACGTTTCGTTGAAAATTACCTTCTGAGAGTTCCAATGGTCTTCCACGGATGATTCCTCAGTGATGTCACGTAGTTTTTCCTGCTTTGCTCTGACAGATGCAGTGAAAGTGTTTTTTGTGGTTGTGTCCTTCAGTTTTTGAGTGTTGAAAGACACAACCACAAAGGACACTTTCACTGCAACTGTCAGAGCAAAGCAGGAAACACTATGAGTATATAGTGAGACAAAAACATCTAAACATTCCATTAAAAGGCGGTTAGTTCATGTGGTTAGTTAATGCTGAGAGATTTTAATAATTGTTCAAATTTAGTTTCTTTGTCCTAAGCATACCTAATCAATCTGATCAATTTCACTAATGTACATAAATGCAGTAAAAGTAGTGTGAGTAGTGACTTGATATGATTATGAGCAATAAATTGTGCTCGTCAAAACGTCATCAGTTAATTTACTGTATAACATCACTGTGTGACGCTTTATCAAAATAAAATCTCATCTCTAATGGAGTTATCCTCTACCACAGTGTCCAAGTTTCATACTTATGTGCTTCAGCTACTCTGATTATCATTCACACTATCAGAGGCCTCAGGTGGGCCAATACTAATCAGAAAAGTTGTTTAACTTTCACTTCATAGTAGTCCTAACGTTTTCTATATAGGCTGTATCACAAATATACCACTTAGTTTGTAATTCGTGATTAGCACCGATCGGTTCAGCTGTTGTTACTGAGGTACATGAATTTTCATAGTACTCGTCAAGTGATGGGGATAACAATCATTCGTATTTGTATACTACGATTATTAGGTTATAACTAAAAGGCAGACGACAATTAAATCTCACAATGCAAACTTTGAAGTGAGATTCACGGTGTTTCGTTAAGTTTAGTCAACTGTCTGTTTTGACAGTAAACTAAGATGGTGTCTGTAGTATTACTATTACTCTTGTCCACTTTCTTTTTGAGTGGAACACACCCTATCAACGACACATCACCACATTTTCTTATTCTCTGAGGTCATGTTTAGCTGGGCATGTCCGTCAACAGTCTCTCATTTCTGTCCCACACGATTTCCTCCTTGTTAACCTCGCACACACGTCGAAGTCGTCAATTCCTTTTCTGTCTCCACTTCACTGTCTGATCTCGAGTGTGACGTCATTTGACAGTCACCTCAGCGTGTGTCCGACCCATAGTTATCTCCTTTCGGAAAAAGATGTTAAGCAAGCGTTCTCTCCTGTTGGTTTGTTCTCAGAATTTCTTGTGGCTAATATTTTTGCTGCCAGCCTGCCTTTAATGTGGAGTGAAGGTGGTTGTCGATAAAAGTTTGTATCCTGATGGAAATGCATTTTCGAGACGTGTGTTCAGTGTTACTGACCCAAGGGTTAGAAATGACTGACTTGACATTGGTGCTGAAAATGAGAACTGTGTTTTTCACACTGAGTGTAGTAGGTTTCCAAACTGATTTCAGAATGGTGAATGCGTGCCCTGCAGTTTTCAATCTGGTTTCGACACCTTCAATCGTGCTGAATGCGTGTAATTGAATCGATGCGTAAGATCGGAAACATAACGATTGCGCTTACCTTCAAATGAAATGATATCTGAAACAGGAAAAAGAGATTATCAGGTGTGTATCATCATTAGTGTTCATTGTTTATACTGAAATGTGCTTGTTTGTTTGTTACTGTGTGTGTGTGTGTAAAAGTCCCTTATTTTCAAATTAATTAGTAAAATTCAAGTGAAACTATTCACTTTAATCAATGCAATGTACTAGTTCGTAGATTTTTAGGCAACTGCTTCAGATGATAACTGCTATGCATACAGTATCTAGAAACTATCCCTCCAGTATCGAGTAACCAATAGTCAGAGTTTGAACTTACTGAGTGATTAACAAAACTGACACAGACATTCATCTGTGCAGCCAATCAATGGTTAGTAAACACTATGTCCTTCAATTTCCTGAACGTTGTTCTGAATCTTATAATTCGGTGTGAAATATACATAACTCGAAATTTTGTCATTCGTATTTTGAATGGAACGCTGAGTCTCAGATGTATATCTCCATTTCACTCAGTTCTCTAATGTCTTTTCTCAGCTGGCTTCGTGATCGCCTACAAGGTCATATACCCCTTTCACATGATCTCTTTCACATCATTCTTGAACCCTTACATCAATGATTCCCCTTCAGGTTCTATGTTACGGTCTTCTTGGAGCAAAATATCATTCTAGTGGTCACCTTAGAATGCGTCGTGTATATCTCCTTCTGTAAAATTGTTGGACGACAGATGTTTCGCCAGAGTTCCTTGTTACATTATCCGTTGAAGCTGGTTATCGGGTCTTCAGTGTTGAGTAAAGACAGCTTCCGACAAAATTCCTGAGTAGTCTGGTGAAAACCTGATATGAGAAATTCATATCATTAATGAAGATTGTCTAAACCAGCACCGATTTGGCACTGGTGTCAAGAATTTTAATCCCCCCTTTTCATGCTCAATGGTGCAAATAACCATGCGGATTTTAGAGTAATGAACACCTGTCTCTGTTTATGGGTCCTGGTTGGCTTTGAAATCCTTATCCACACAACGTGTAGTTCACATGATACTTACTATCGAGGTAAGTAAAGTGGACGATCTCCTTTCACTTTCTTGTTGTTTTCGTTGTTGTAGGTAAGTGACATTGTAGATTCTACGTTTTCTTCAAATTGAACAGATGAGAAAATTAATCCACTAGAATCAGCTTCTAAAGTTATTTTTGTAGCTTATTGAAAATTAGTCCTTAAAATAGTCCCACCAATGCAATATCTATATGAACCCAATCCTTACCTGAATGACCATACAAATGTCAAAAATAAACTTAAAACAATTAGTACCTTTGATAAATTTGAATAAGTCACTAAGAAAACAAATTTCGCGAGATGATATCATTTCGTAGTTTCTTTACAACCGCTTTACAACTAACATGGTTAACAATAATAAAATAAAGATCATGACAATTACTCAGTTAACTAAAAACAAAAGTACATACTAATGACTAATCATATTTAAAAGGTCATGTAGTCCATGGTGGGTGAAGATTGAAGTCTATTGTTTTTTGTACCCACAGTTTAGGCTTCCATCACCTTCAATAACAATATACTTCAATCTTCGCCTACCATGGACTACATGACCTTTTAAATATAATTGGTCATTAGTATGTACTTTTGTTTTTATTTAACCGAGTAATTGTCATGATCCTTATTTTATTATTGTTAACCATGTTAGTTGTAAAGCGGTTGTAAAGAAACTATGAAATGACGATATTATCTCGTGAAATGTGTCTTCTTAAGGCCTTATTCAAAAATAAACTTGTTTATTCTGTATTACTCCGTGGATTTTATCTTGGTAAATGTGTATAAGCACAACAGTGTAATGCATCAGGGGGTGACAGTGAAAAATGTTGATACTGATAGAGAAATTAAATCTTAAACAGTTAGTCAGAGAATGCTTCCTCTAATAATTAAGTTCTACTTTTCTTCAATAAACCCGAGTATGCTTAAGAAGACTGTTTCCACCCCATTTTTCTCCTATAGTCAACATAGAGTGGTATCGAGTATCTGTAGAAGTGAATATTTTCATCTTCTTGACTTGATCTGTAGAGATTTGATGGGTTTCAAGTTTGAATGTGGATTGAAATTAGTCAGTTGAAAATTATTAGAGATAACTAGACAGTTAGTTAGTTGGGTTCGATCTCTGGTGAGGTCATTTATACTTGCTGACAAAATGAATGACACAGCAGTAGAGTACTCCCTAGTCAGTCAGTCAGTCAGTCAGTCAGTCAGTGGTTTCAGTAGTCTTCATGCTTTCCCTACACGGAGTGGGATGGTTAACCTGACGCTCAAAGTTACCCCACCACACTCGGCTTATGGTCTGTTAGGTGAGGTTTAGGAGTAGGTCCATTGGGAATCAAACACTGAGCCAAATTCTCGATTGGCCAACATTCTACCGACGAGCAAGTGATGCACACTTTACCGAAATAAACTGATACATTCAGACTGGATTACTACCTTTTATTTGTATTATTAACACAGTAATTGTCATATAAACCTATTGACTTCATTTCACTTACCAGTTATCCATTTATCACTTTCTAATATACTTGCAGATTCAAGGGATGATTGTAAACTGTCAAACCACTCTTCTGACTGAAATGCCTGCTGCACTTCACGATGTGGCATTGCCAGTAGTACTGTAATGCTACTGGGAGTATTTAGTTGATTTGGATCCAACTGGGGGATATCACATGACAGTGGAATTGAACTCAATCTTGGCTCTGTTCTCTTCACTACTTCTTTTACCTATGCAAGATATCAAAAACAGAAACAAGTAGAAAGTACTCTCTTAAGTTTGAAAGTAAATTCAGTAGTCTTTTACAACAGTCTATGAAGCAAATTATTGAAGAAAATTTAGTGAATAGATTTAGAAATCGAATCTGAGATTTATGTTCTAAATAAGTGGGGATTTATTTTGATGTATGGTAACTAGCAGTTGATTCCAGGGTGCGCACTTCGCATCTGGATGTATTCTGCAGTGAGTGGTGGTCTTTTCATTGAGTCTCAAACTCAGTACCAATCTTATCAAACGCCAAAGAGTCATCCTCCAGATTACGAGAGTCATTCCTTATGAAGTGGGTGCCACTTATCTTTCGTTTCTAATTCAGTCTGACTTTCTCGCTGAATGATTCGACTGAAATCTCCATCCTGTGTTGACATGTCCGATCAGCACGTCCCATCAATCAACGGAAAAATCAAACTTCAATTCAAAATAAATAATTACAGACATCCATTACATAAAAGGTCTTTCTGGTGGCTCTCATCTTCTAGAATATGCCTCTTTGGTGTCTGGGACGATTGGTACTGTGTTCCAGACTCATTTAGAATACCGTCATTCACTGAGGAATACATCTAGGTAATGAGCCCCAAATAGGACGAAGTGCGCACCTACTGGATTCCACTGCTAGTCAATATTCACCAAATCATTTCGATTTGATTTAGTCTTCAGACGTTGTAGAAGGGGCTTACATGTCAAAAGACGTTGAACAGTTTGATCTAATCAATCAACAAGAAAATTTTAAAAAATGGTGATTTATTTACATTGACAAATGCCACAGATGTGATTCACTGATTTCTTTCCCCAGAATTGAATACCTCGGGTTAACTAGTGATACTGGTTAGTGTAAGTATTCTCTAACTACAGCCTTCCATGTGTGCATTTAGGGCATTTCTATTGATACCATGATGATATCGTCATCTTGAAGAACAAACAACGGATAACTTCTTCTTCTTCTAAACACAAAGAAAATCTCCACGTTTAGTTTTACCACTCCACCATAAATGCTGAATTATTTTAGTGAAGAGAGGAACAGGGACAACGCCAAAAGTCGGGATCGGCTAGTACACTATCGTTACTTGTTCTGTCAAGTTATACTCTGTACTTACGAAAGCTTATGAAGCATACTATGGCATATTTGTCTGTATGAAAGAACTGAGAAGAAAGCGTCCAACACAGGAGGTGAATCCTAGTTTTCGAGTTGTCTCCGTATTTCGGTATATCACTGTCGACATTTTAGCAAATAAATAGACATCCTAATACGGTTGATGATGAACATGCTGTCTATCCTGATCTTGGTACTTCCACGGTTAATTAATACAACCTCCAAGAACTACTTATGTATTCCTCAGATATCTTCCCAAAAAAATACCAAAATAAACTAGGAAGTTATTCAACAATATTAGAAGACATTGACTTTGCAAAAAAAAGTCTACATATTTTTACAATTCATTACCACTTTTTAAAAATTTTCAAAACAAACTGTACTCACATCTTTGCAGAGGTTGTCTAAGATTGCTAAGAATCGACGGTCTGATTTGTTGTAGTCTCCAATTACCAACGGTTTGACTGAAAGTTTCATTTCAGCTATGAAAATCTCTGAAAATCATGTTGAAAAGTGAAGATATATGTTACAAAGAAACTCTTCATAAAACTGTCAGTATTATGATTTTCATCGGTTGGTTTTCATTTACTGAAAGCCGCTGTATTGCCTGTTATCAAAACGTGGTCAATAAACCTACTGATTGGAAACCTGATGGATCTCGCTGGCTACGACTTCTCATTAAAATCTCAAGTAACTTCCGATACAAAGCCAGTCGCTGCTAGTCAGCATCAGATTAATTTTCTTGTGTTGGTGTATAGGGGGAGGTTTGACTGGTTACAGGATTGATCACGATCTGATCACGATCGGTTACAGACACTGGCTGATAGTTGCGCTAAATACACATCACCAGATTAGCAGACGTTGAAATTCACGTACTAATGGCTGGGACACAAGTAGCTGAATGGTCTATGAACTCGCCTTGTAACCAGGAGGTCCTCATCTCATACTCAAGTGGGTGTTTACTGCTGAGGAGTCTCAAACCAGGATGAAGCAGCTCTTCAGTACTCCCGACTGGTTTTCTAATGGCTCTCTCACTCATTTAAACTTCTGATCAATCCCGTAACAAGTGAAGCTGTCACTTGTTTTGCAAACATGGCGAGCCGCATATGATCGGCATATATTGCTGCAGTAGACTTCAAACTTCAGTTAACAGTTCCTTTCGGTCAATACTGAAGAACAGATGGCAGGCCAGAAATAAAAGGGAAACAAAACAAGGAAGTGTGGTAACGAAGCCGAAGAAATCAACATTTACGGACAGGGAATTGGAGATCAACTGATCGAACATATACTAATGAGAGCGTTGAGTGGTATCACATGCCAAAAAGAAACTAGAGTGGAACCCGAATATGAAACAATGGATTGAGTGTTGATCAAATAGTCACACTTAGGAGATCGTGTGAGGATGAAATGAATGCCTTTCGCCAATCAAAATCCAAGTGAAAAAGACTGCAGAGAACAGGATGAAATGGTGGTCTGCTTTTGAAATTAAGCCTCCTATTTATGCTATCATTTCATTGCTCTTTATCCAGCTGTGGCATGTACTACTTATTAGGTATATCAGTAGCATACAGAAAGTCGTTCTTTGTCTTCGATCGTTCTACTATAACTGGCTTTTCGAGTGTAAAACTGGACTGCAGGAATATAACTGCATTTTACTTAGTTTTCTCCTCCTATTCCCTCTTAATATCATCCTCTTCATTCCGCCCTCTGACGACTAATTCATCGCTTCTAGGTCTGGCCTCCACTTGACAGCCCGACATGTGATGTCACTCAACCATCTCTTCAGCATATGTTGAATATATCTCGATTTCCTCCTCCATATTTTTTGGCTAAGAGGTTCTCGGTTGGTTCGCAGCCTGTAGTTGTATTTCGTCTATCCTTTCTGGTTGGCTCTCTGTTCTTCTGTGTTAAGTGAAATCAGCTAGCTACTCATAAAAGTTTTCAGTAGCCTGTTAAAAATGATTTTCGTGATGTGTCAGGTTACTGAACGGCATGGCTATGAAACATTGTTGCCGAATTGTATTCATTCTAAGCGAATGAGAAATATTTCTTCACAGGGTTGCTAATAATGTCTGTTAGGAATAGGCCAAGGACAACTTTCTCACAACTATACACATACTGTTCTCTCTGATCAGTTCGCTTTTGACTCGATGATAACAAGCAGCATCATAATGCACAAATGGTCATCATCCTATTTTGCAGACACTCATAGATATTTGACATTTGTTCCACACAAAGCACCTGAACTTTCAAATATCCGTTCAGTCTATGAGTAAGTCCATAGCACAATCCACTAAACATATCCCGCATACGATTTAATCAATATCACTTTTGCCATTACATACCTGAGTTTACATCAGCCAACTGTACGTCAGTAACACCAAATAGGAAACGCCAGAAGAGAACATTGCGTGAACTAAGATAACCCTTTTCTAAAAGCTTCTTATGTGATAACTTCAACTGGATTGATTTTTTCTCCTTATTAAATGAACATTCCTCAATTGTTTCTTTCAACCCAGGATATAACTTTGACACCTGTTTCTCCACCTGAAAAACATCAGCCAAACAGATAAAGTGAAAAGTCAGTAATCTCAGTTAATTTAAAATAAAACGAATACAACCTCAAAGTTGAATAACACTCAAAATCATTCAAAATAATAATAAATATGATTATATCTGACAGTGATCACAAAAGTTACCTCAAAAAGTAAATCAATGATCAGATGAGTTGGAATCACTGAAATGTATTTGGTACTATTTACACCACTGAAGAAATTTTTAGCCTACAATCCAAAGCAAATTGACTGTAGACCAAAATCTAGCTGATTTCTGGGAAAGTTGTTAACGAGTTAGTAAGTAGCATAAGACAATGCATATGAACACTGCATTACACAGTGATTGCATTTCACTTTGTCGTTATTCTGTTCATGAAGAGAGCTATTTTGGCGTGTGGAACATAGACGAAAATCACTCTACACAACTGTCTACCGCTCTGCTTAACAGTTATTCTAGAAAAACAACATCAGCTGTGTGAGAAAGGGGGAGGAAGTATTCGGAAAGCATCACTGATATATCTTTACAGCAGTAGGCATATTTATTTACTAGTAAGCGCGTACAATTCCTCGATTTGGATAGTTATCCATCCCATGTTAATGAAATTGAATTCCTCACAGTTACATACTGAGAACCATATTCTTCTCACTGGGTTAGTCGTTCTTATGTACTTACTCACTTTCATACCTTCCATACTGTCACATTTGAGAAAGACGGAAGTCTTATAAAGTGAAATACAATCTAAAGTTACCAGTGTCATTATATTTTCCGATTTCACTGCACATATATTACCGACAATAAATAAGTACGAAAGAATTAAGGAATCACACAAATTTTTCAGGTGGTGGCTTCTCAACCGTTAAGGTCGGTAAACGCCGATTCTTGTTCTCCGTCCTCTTCTTATTCCTCCATGTATAACCAACCAGATTCGGTATGCAGTTCATCCACTGGGGCTAATGTGACTCCTAAATAGAATGTAGCAGCAAAGCACACAGAAACGTTTCACGGATTCTCCTAAAATCTGCATTGGATACTATCCACTGAATGCAAGCTCCAGCCAGGATGCAGGGCATCAGCAGAAAGCGAATTTCGTCCTCAAAGTTATCAGCAGACTGACGGTTCTATCAAGGTTCTCAGCTAACATTTATATAAACTCTGAGCACTTCAACTCAACGAAACAGTATTGCAGTGGCTATCCAATTCCTCAAAAATCGGAGTCGATCAGACTGACAGGCATCAGTAAACCTTCCACGTAAGTACATAAGAAGGGTAACAGTAAACGTCTCTAACACCTACTAACACTCATCATTATTCCCGCTCACTTCGCTGCCATTCTCTTCACTAGCACACGGTGTTACAGCATCTCGCGTTTGAAGGGTATAAACAGCCGCATTTACACTGAGATCAACATCTTCCTTGCATAGTACATAAATAAAATGAAGCATTCCACATCACAACAGGCCTACTGATGTGGATAAATTCACCGTCGTATTTCATTGTAAAATACTCCGATTGGCTGCACTGAATAATCACTCAGTAAGTCCGAATTAAAACCAGATAACGGATCATGACATGCATGACAACTAACCTTTTCGCACCAACCGTTGGGGAGTTCTTCAAATGTCACAGGATAGGACAGGGTGTATTCTAAAATAAAGATCAATTCAAGAAAAATGATGCCACCCTTCTTAAAAATACCAATGAAAAAATAAAATTACAAACGATTTCATCTTACTTTCTTGAACAAGGTGGCGTAATTTCTCTCACACAACTAAGTTATCTACTCTTAGCGTATAGCGACATCATCAGTATTTGTTTACTGATGACGCTGCTGGTAAGACCTATTCCTCATATTTCTTATCAGGTCACAAGCGTTAGTTTCAAACTTTGCCATTTACTACTTTCATCATTTCTTATCCTCTGATCTTACTGGTAATAATGTCTGCATATCTGAGGGACTGACACTGCGTATTTCTTACTGCACGTGTTAGATAAACAAGGATTCAAGCGTCTTCATCTCACTCAATCAACATGTATAAGATGTCATCACTTCAGCTCTGTCCCTCCCCTGTTGTGTAACTGTGTGTTAGCACATGCATTAAGATTGCTCAGCCTCACTCTAAACTATCCACCCTTGTGTGGCCAGTCATTCTACATCCAGATAAATTCTTGTGTCAAGATAATCTGACCACCAACGATCTACTTGTGTGATCTATGCAGTTGGTTTCACAGTCGGTTCAAAGTATTTTGTAAAATACATTACGTCATTAGAGTCATTTAGTCTAGAGAGTTTGTCTCTGAGTGAAACTGTAGGCTTAAAACTCCACCCTAATTCCTGCTTTACTAGGAATCCTACTTAAAGTTTCAGACATCCCTTCCTTATATGGTGGAACCACAATTGCCTTAAACTCTTTCTTATATATTTTCTCGCTAATGGTTCCACTGTTGCTTCTCCTTAATCTTGTGAGCACTTTCGATCACCTCATTAAATCTTATGCGACAGTAGTTTGATACCAACGCTGTTTCTCTTTATTTTATTTCACTGTTCAGGTCCCCTGATTATGTAGTCCTCTACATGCACTTTCATTCACAACGCACACACACACACACATTAAGACTGAAAACTGAGTATTCGTTAAAACGGCGATCTAATATTTTCTCAGTGCTTAGTGAGAGGAGAAGTCTAGTCCTTAGTCAATACACATGGATCAATAAATAGCATAGAGTTAAAATTCCCTAGCAATGTCACATTACTCATCAAAAATTACGTCATCTTCTCACCTGTGTTTCTCCATACCTTTTCTGGAAATAAAATTGAAAAGTATGTTTGGTGATTCAACAATAATACACCGATTATCGATGTGAACAAAATTTAAATGCTCAGAAATAACTAATACCGCTCAAGACACAATACTTTCACAGCAGAAAGCTGACGAATATCGTTAAAGGCTAACTAAATTAGTCAATCAGGCAAGGATGTTCTTGACTAATTATCTTATTTCATAGATTGAAACGATGAAAACACTTTTATCCTTCACTGTTATACAGACATTTCGTTGACTACTCTCCCCAATCACTGATTCACTCTCAGCTACTTGGGCTCTGCTGTAGACAAATAACCCTAGCACATGTTGTATTCAGAAATCCAGAGTATGAATTAGGGAGTATAGGGTTTTGCCCATTGGTGCAAGCATTGTCGTATCATTTAAATGCGAGCTTTGTCATAACCAAAATACTTCACTCTGATGGAGGAATATTCAAATGACCAGAATGATTTGAATCATCAGAAATGTGTTCAGACCGTTCAAGTGAGAATGTGCAAAGCGTAAGCTAAGAGTTCGAATTCGAGAATTAAAATTAAACTTCTCCTAGTTTACTAATGTACCAGCTCATACTAATTTCGGAAAGGGTAGGAAGGAGGATTTAGATATATTGCTTCCCTGGAGTCAGGGAGACGAAATGATACAGGCTGATAAAAGCCTCCCAGCAAACGGCCAACCGAAGCGTCTTCCTCTGATAAAAGCAAAACTAAGCATAAACTCTAAGATCTACAAGTGAATACCAAACAGTGTGGAAGGAAATATGTGGGTGAATAAAGAGAAGACAGACATGATAAGGATACTTAATCAAAAACAGCAAGCACTAATCACCGTCAACGAGGGAAAGTTAACGGCAGCCACCTCTCTCACGTATCTAGGTAAAAATGTTTTAACTAATAGTGGCACTGAGGGCATCGTCAGAGGCAGGAACGAAAGGGCAAGACAGACCTTCGTTAATTTTTGAAATTAGGGTGAAAACTGCCTGTCCTCAGTGTAAATAACAAGATCCCAATTCTCAATACTAATGTCAAGTCAGTCAGCTACCTTCTCTGCCCACTAAATTTAGGATAGCCGGTTGGAGAAGATTAACAGCAAGGAACTCTGGCAATGGACCAGACTATGACATATCACCGAACAGATATGGAGGAAGAAGTGGAGTTTGATTAGAAATACGCTGAAACTGTTGAGTAACATCATGTGGCAGGCCATCAAGTGGAGCGTAAACTGGAAAGGGCTAGTTGGGTGGGAGTCCGAGTATCAGATGATGTGGTTAAGAAGCGATGAAAGCGTATGAACGATTGTACAGCTGGGTGTGAAAGACTTCAGAGAACAGACTCAAATGAAGACATGCTTCTGAAGACGAATTTTCCATCCGGAACCCAAAAGCAAACTGTTATTACTAAAAAACATCAAGTACAACCGCATTCACTACGAAAGTATTTACAATTTATCGTTCCATGTGCACGTATGAGTTTCGTTTGCATAAAGGGAAATAGAAAATATCTGAAAATATTATACAAATCATCAACTTACTCGTTACTGACACAATAGCTGTAATCAAATGAAATAAACGTATTTGATTCAATGGACTCTCGAAAACATCAGTGTATTTGCGAACAGTTACATGGAGGCATAACAACTACCACTAATATGCTTACAAATTCAAACCACTCTCATAGATTATCATCACTATTCACTGCATTAGTCACACTGCATTGACAACTAAAAGTAAAAGTGAGTGTACTCATCAATCAATACCATTCAGCTGACGAACTTCTATTCCCCTAAATCAATAGATCGCCTTAATATTATTTCACAAATGAAAGTAGTAGTTATTCTACCAACCACTAGTATATTCCTAGTCATGAGACACACACACACCACTTGTTTCACTCACCCGTTGGCCACTTATCATCAACTGGGATTGCTCCAGGTTTGACTGATTCTTTAAATAGTCTGAACCAGGCTTTTGACGAGAACGCTTTCTCCACTTCACTGGACGACATCATAAGCTGTACTGTGATTTCGAGTTTTGGGGTATTTCGATTCAGTTGTAATGGAATATCACATGATAAGGCAACTGAACTCAGTTTCTTTTCCATACTCTTCACCACATCCTTCACCTGATAACACCAACAAAAGAACAGAGAGAAATCGTAGGTTAAATGCAAATAGTCTACTGAAATTAGGACAGCCTGTCTGCAGAGTCACTAGTCAACGCTGGCTGGCTGGCACTGTGAGAACGCCAAAGGGACTCATATTTACAAATCGACAGTTAATTAATCAATTAAAGTGTTTATGAGACTGAAAGTATTTAAGACACATAAATATGAATATCCTCTAAATCCCTCATAGTAGTGTGATGAGTAATTCTTCGACTGATTTCAAATGTGAATGGCAAGTTTGTCGCCCTTGTTGCATAACAATTACACACGTTTTCCATCATGGACACCATTGTCATGAACATGATAGTTTCCACGGTGATTGTCAAGGGATTGAATTGAAAACATTCAGACATCGTCAAAAACTCTCTTCCAGACTCCTATTTCACTGAACATTGAAATTACTTACATCCTGACAATATTTATCCAAAATTTTCAGGGATTCTTCACTATTTCTTGTGATGGCTGTTTCATTCCACTCTCTGACTGACAGAACCAGTTCCACTGAGGTAATTTCTAAAATGTATTAGAAACGTAATCGTATGCATTATTATTATTATTAGCAAATCATACGACACTATGAAGGGATGAATTAGCGGTAGTCAGTGCTCTGTCAAGCTTTTTCTTTTAATTGAAAACGTTTAGTGGTGGTAATTGAGATAATGTGTGTCTGTGGGAAGATTGGCAATATGCAGAGTCAAATCCACGTACAATTTTCAAACGAACAGCTCTTTGTTTCTCAGTGTTTCTGAAAATTGAGCAAGAACACCTTCCACACCAATTTGTTGTTAGATCCTAATGGGCGAAAAACTGTTTTTTGAATATTCGATTCTCTTTGTCACTATAGAAAACAAATGTGCATCATGTCATGTGTATGTTTACGGATGATTTCCTCTTTACTTTCGTCCACTGTACTGAAGGTTGTTTGACACTTACACAGTGAAGTAGACTAGAATACAGGACTGAATGAAATTTCAGCCCGACAATGAATGTTTGGCTACTTGATAGCATACAATACGAATGGAGGAGTAAATTGTGCTTCACGTCTCGACGAACTTCAGGAGATACTCTGTAATTACTCCATTTGTATTTTTCAGTTCAAGTTAAAAGCAAAGTGTCAAAGTGAAAATCATGAATTGGTTAAGTCATCAAAGAAGGATTCAGTAAAACTGCACAGAACAATATAAATGTATTCAATAATAATAATTGGTTTTGGGAATAAATATCCCTTTGAGGTGGCTGCATGTGTCTGAATGCATAAACTTGTGGACAGTGTAGTTCAAATTTATTTTAATCACTACGATATTTGAAGTAGTAAAGAAGGAGTGAAAATTGAAATCAAATGACTGTCTGTCTAACTAACCTGGAGTTTTAGATTTGCCAAGATGTTTGGAATTAGTAGAGGCTAGTGGTTTAGCTGATACTGTAAATAAAAACAAAGAGAACATTTTCTCTCATAAATTATTGAGTAATGAATTTGTAATCAATCAACTTTTCAAACCAAAACATGCTAAAGTGAAAAATTGTCCCATAGTATTCGGCTGGATGATGCGATTCATCACAGAATGAAGCCAAACAACGTGTGACGCTTAATTTTCAAAAATTTTGAATTACACTTATCATGTGAACAAAACCACAGTAACTGCTGTTTAATTAAATTTGCGTGATAATGAGAAATTTTCTCACATCATATTTGTTCAAGTTTCAGTCTACAACAATGTCACATGCATATTTTCTCTTGGCACACAGCCATCAGATGCAAAATATGCCGGCTGCTTCAGCTGATGTTGCATTTACCAAGACTACATGAAGAACAGTTTCATTCGTGAATAAGAAAGAGGCAACAAACTTATTGATTCGGTGTTTGGTTCAGTCCAATGCGGACGACAATTAGTGTTGAAGTTTGCACTACACATATCAGCACAGGTTTTTTCAGTTACGTATGCTTCCGGGTTAATCCCGATTAAAATTCAAAATTATCGCAAGCTGTTTGCAGAGTTCCTTTGTCGATCGATATTCGAGTAGAAAATCAATCGGAATGTATTTGGAACGTGTTGACTGAAAAGGGACTAGCATATCTTTGCTGCTGTTCAATGTATGAAGACGTCATGCAGAGAACTAAGATTAGTTACTGTTGATAGGGGCTACGTATTCCTTCTACTTCCACACTGAAGTGGTGAAATCAAGATAATTTCTTTACCTAAGTTTGTCTGAAGTGATAAACTGAACATTTTCTTCATTTCTCATACGATTGATATTCATCGGTGAGGCGAAAAATGAGTTAAAGTTTGCTACAACTTGTTCATATCTCGTACATCAACACGCATGACTGATACAACACGAAGGACAGACAGTATAAGAAATTATTAGAGCATTTATAGATACCCATGTCCTTGTGAACAGAAACAGTGAAGAAAATCAAAAATAACCATGTTGTCCTCTTTCTATCAGACCACCTTCCATCAAAACATTACTCATAAAGTAACAGTCTAAGGGTTGTTCATTTATCTTTTCATCTCCTGTATCAATATTATCAAATATTTTATTCTTGTCCAGTATGAAAATTGTCACGGAATTTTAGAGAAACACCAAACTGCGATATAACCACGTAAATCTCTTTTCCTGCTCACCTTACCATACAGTTTAGTAGATTAGTCATTCTGGCAGAATATAGTCAAACATGTCAGCAGTGGTAAAGTGTCATCCTCGGTGACTGGAAGTGGTTTCGTAGACTGAGTACATTCCAGAGATAAGCGCTTGTTATTATGCACACGAGTCTTTCATTTTATTGTAAGAAGTGTACACTAGAAAATGCTCGAATCAATCTTCTTGAGATACATAAGAACGTTTATTAACAATACAAATAGGTAAAGGAGCACAGATATACGATGTCAGTGGGGTGGGTTTCAAATTCAGGCAATATAGTCTTATTTTTCGTCATTGTCAGGTGCGGTTCAAGTTTAAAGCGCTCGCTAACAGCGCGCGTAGTCTGCGGTTTGATCCTCGGCCAACGCACTCCTCAATCTGGTTTAGCCAGTAGTAAAATCGGAGAGGACGGATGGTTGAGCGTGAGGCTAGCGACCCCACCCCATAAAAAATAAACATCACTACAACTGAAACTTCAAAGCTCCAACTCGAAGACCTGCGTCCCACACTCGGTACGCAAAGGGATGAATGAGTAAATAAATAAATAAATAAAGTCAGGTTTGAAGTATTCCCCTCAAACAATCTCACCATCGAAAAGCTTATTCAGGGTGGTTTTTAATTCACACATTTATAAAGAAACTGATATTCTTATTTGAGTATGGGAGGAAACTTGCCGTCAGTCAAGCTATGAGACACACCGTCCGAATTTCTTTTTTACACAGACATAATCTCATCCAAAAATCGATCTCCACTGTTTCTGTTATTCAAGATGAATTATACTTTCCAAATTCCATGCACAGCATATCTCCTGAAAATCTTTGTAGTTCACAATCGTCATCTGTTACCTCCACTCTCTACCCGGGTTATTACTAGTTAGCCGAAGTTGAGGAATGAGTCAACTGGGGCCGAAACGCAAACCACGTGCCTGATTGCTGAGTGTTCTACCTCTGACCTACCGGTGCACACATTAATAAAATATCCAATTCACATTAAATTATCAACTGAGATTAGGAAAAAAATCATATTCAACTTACCTATGTCCAGTGTATTATACCCAAATAATAAAAGGATGAGTGAAATCACAACTGGTGATAGTACAGACCTCATGGTTTTGTCTCACTCGTCTAATGAGTGATTTCTACTTATTTCTGCCTTTGTTTATATTTATACCAATTCTACGTCCAATTAGGGAAAGAGAAGAACAAAAAAATGTTATAATCAGGTCAAGAAATGCTTGTTATTCTTATTATTAGATTCCATTATTCAGCTATAATTTCTGACTTGTGTGTTAGTGCACTTCTCCTTCTTCTTCTTCTAGACAGTGTTACGCTTCTTTTTATGTATCAACTTTCAATTCACATATAAGAAAATTTTTGATGTTCTATTAGGCGGTAAAGTAATTTCACTTTGAGTATCGATTTTTACACAGAACTAATTAAAAGGACCTATGAATGTCGCTCATTAGTAGTTTGAGAAAATTTTTTATCTGAGATGGGGATGACTTCATTTTGACTGTGCTGTTTCAGCTAGTTGATTTAATTGCAAAGCATTCGTTATCCTCCCGGACAACATGTTCAGTGCAAGCTTCTATGAGAAGTAAACTTGTTTGAATTCTCCATGACAGGTGAGATAACTGTATCTCCCTATAGATAACCAATGTCGTGGTCGGCTGTTAAATTACATCTTTATTTATCATTATGTTCGACTTGGAAATTGAACTTTTCTGTTAAGAAGTGATTTATTTATTTTTTCTTAGTTGGTAAGTGTGACCCCATATTAGTGTGTTTTTATTAATCGTTGATTCATCTGAACAGCTGACTTCTGGAAATCCCCTAGCAATTTTACTGTTCCGACTTTTCAAAATCTCTACATTCAGCCAGTCAAATTGGTATCTGTAATTATCAACATGCGATGATACGAAAGAATATACATATCAGATCTTTTCATGGCTAATTGATGTTCTTGAATTCTGAGGTGAAGGGGACGCCCACTTTGACCAATAAACTGTTTATCGCAGTTTACTCCAATTTATTTTGTAGATTGTAATGATGATGTCTTCTTTAGGTATTCGATCCTTCGGTGTAAACAGTATTGAATGAACTGATTGTATTTTAAATGGTCTTATTATTCTAGCAGTTTATTTTAGAGATGTATTTTTATTCATGAAAGAATGAATTATCTTGTGGTCTTTGAGGAAGGTTTCTTGTTGGTATTTCGGTTTAAGCTTACACGGTTTTTGATGAAATTTCATAGATTTTCATTCTTCAAACAATACCAACAACGGAGACAGAGCTACCAGTGAACACCAATCCCCCGACGAAATCAGAAGTCCTGAAGGCAATCAAGATGCCAAAAGCTGGAAAAGCAGCAGGACCAGATAGAATCCCAGCAGAAGCATTGAAAATTCATCCAGAGACAACAGCTGACCTGAAGACGCCACTACTGGAGAAGGTGTGGAAAGAAGGCAAATAACCTGAGGACTGGGAGAAAGGATACTTATTCAAACTACCAAAGAAAGTAGACTTAAGTCAATGCAAGAACTGGCGCGGAATTGTGCTCCTGTCCATCCCAAGCAAAATACTAAGCCGCATCATCCTGGAGAGAATCACACATGCCCTGGATGAAAAACTTCGACCGTACAGGCTAGATTCAGGAGAAACAAGTCATGCATTGATCAGATCGCCACATCACGGATCATCATTGAACAAAGCCTGGAATGGCAGTCACCTCTCTATCTCAAATTCATCGACTTTGTAAAGGCCTTCGATAGTGCAGCGTCGATTGAGAGGTGATTTGGAAACTACTTCGCTACTACCAAGGGGTGCCGCCGACAATTATACATCTCATCCAACAGCTGTACGACAATGCTGCATGCCAAGTCATCCACAACCAGAGACTTACGGAATCCTTCGAAGTGAGGACATGAGTAAGACAAGCTGGCTGCCTACTATCGCCAATGATTTTCCTGATTGCAGTAGACTGGACAATGTGACAGACAGTGGGCAATGAGGAAACAGGCATAAAATGGACTCACACCAAAAACTTGGAGGATCTGGACTTCGCCGATGATATATGTCTGATTTCCCACAAACTGGGAGATATGCAGGCGAAAAGCAACAAGTTGGCAGAAGAAACATCAAAGATAGGACTTCAGGTGAACATAGAGAAAACAGATGTGATGATGAAGATTCTTAGGCAACACCACCAACAGCAACAACAACAACATACAACAATCGGCATAAATGCAACGAATCTGGAAGAAACAACCTCCTTTACTGACCGACCCACCTGGGAAGCATCGTTTCAACTACAGGCGAAGGGAACTGACGATGATATCAAAGCAAGAATCGAAAAAGAAAGACAAGCTTTCACTACTCTCAAGTCTGTGTGGAGGTCAACAGCACTCAGCATCAAAAATAAGGTCCTGATTTTCAACTCCAATGTGAAGTCAGTCAGTGCCACTTACTATACGGATGGATCAGAGACTTGCACTGCGTTTCATAAAGAACATCTCAAACAAACTACAGACCTTCATCAACAGCTAGCTGTCTTCGCTCTAAACTACTCAAAATCCGATGGCCGGCCAGAAAAGATCAGCAACAGAGAGGGATCTCTGGCAATGAGCGAACCAACACAGCAGGAATCGATTGTGAAACAAATAGGCAGAAAGAAATGGAGATGGATTGGCCGGCCATACTCTGACGAAACAAACCATCAAGTGACTGCCATCACTAGAAAAGCCATTGGTCGAGTGAAACCCGAAACGGAAGCGGCGAAATGGTAGTCAGTATAAGAGTGGGGTGACTTGGAGGAGGTCATGTGAAGAGGAGATGAAACGTGTGTGTTGGCAGACTTGGAGCCAGGTGAAGACTGTAGCAGAGAACCGAACGCAATGGAGACGCACCGCTGAAGCCCTATGTTCCTCTAGGAATTAAAGGAAACAATTATATTAATAATAATTGTCTTCAGCACTGGAGTGCTACAGTGTGCTTTGACTGTCTTAATAAATGTCTGCACACAGTTTCTTTCGTGAGTCACTGGGTTGTTGCTGCTATAGCTGAGTATTCGACCTAAGTGTGTGTGTGTGCATTGATTGCCTGTTGACTTGTGTTTCCAAATTCCCTGTGTTAGTTCTCTTGATTAAGACATCTAAAATAAAATGGATGTTGTTGTCCACTTCTTCTCCTTCTTCTTCTCTTGTGAATTTCATGTCTTCCAATATGTTGAATAATTGTTGATTTTAATTACAACGACTGTATGTATCATCAAGATAATGTAAGCAGACTTTTGCTTCGATTGATAAGTGGGGCTATTAATTATAATCTCTGGACAATGGCTTCAGTTGTCAATACTGACATGGGCGATCCCTATATTGCTCCTTCAACCTGATAGTACATTTGATTGATAAATTTTAGATATGTTGTAAAACATAATCCTGTGAGTTCCATCCAACTTGTACAATGTGTATTTTTGTGTATTCATCGGTGTAGAGTAGTTGTTGCATCGTTTCTTTCTCTAGTTTCGGACCAACTGAAGGGTATAATGGTGTGAATTCAAAGAACACCATGATTTCACGACTAACAGTGTTAGCCAGTATCTTATTGCACATATTGAAGTAACATTTTTTTTGTTCATTCTAACTTGTAAGTAGTGCATGATACATTTATGTCCAATTCAGGATTTGACATTCCATCACTTGACGACTTTCCGATTTCTCAATGGGAGTATCTTAAACATTATGGTTATACCAATGGATAAAAACATATAGAGCAGGTAGGTCAAAAATTTGTCTGTGTTCTGTAAAACCAGATCAATTGGCCTCGGAATCACTGTTAAACACAGAAGAATTCAAATTTAAATTTTCAAAAGTAAGAATGTGAATGCAACAGCCTTAAGTTATGTTGCTAGACACGGAGAAGAGTCATTACACCAACGAAGACCTCTCATTCGGACATATATATATATACATATTGATTTCAACAGTCTTGTCAATCGAAAGAGACTTCGTCCTTGTATCGGACATGGAATTACAATGTATGAAACAAACTGTAGATGAATACGAAATATTAAAGGTCAAAATCGAGAAGCAAATCAGTGAAATGAAAGAATTATCCGACAATGAATATTTCCAAGAGTTAGTTTGTAGGGATTCAATTCGTCTGAAGTTTATCCACGGAACGATATCAGTTAGAGAGCCATTGAAAACCACTAGGGAGTAATGAAGAGCTGTTTCTTCCTAGTTTGCGATACATCGGCAGTAGGCACGAACTGGGATTCGAACTCAGGACCTCCCAGTGACGTGGTAAGTTGAAAGACCATTCAGCCACGAGGACTGAAAGATGATTGGAGTTTCAGTGGGTATTTTTGATGAGTGAAATCCACCCAGTCGAGCTTGACAACAAATACTTATCGGTGATATTGACTGGCGGTCGAGCTTTAGTCATGAATTGGCAGAAGTTAGGATTGATGGGCTAGTGAATCAGATCGCAGTGGCTAGATAGTCTACGAGTTCGCGTTGCAGCCTGAAGGTCCTAGGTACGAAACATGGTGGGTGCGTAGTGGTTGAGAGTCAGGGATTGGGACGAAAGAGCTTTCCAGTACTCCCTGCTGGTTTTCAGTGGTTCTATAACTAATATCAATCTGTGATCTAACTTGAATGAGATAATTTACTTAAACAGAGGTCAACAAGGGGTCTCGTTAAGATTATAGGTGAAGACAAAAAAAAGAGTAGAAAATCACTCTGTCAAAACAAAATTTCATTTAAAATAAGAAAATTCACAAAACGGGGCACAATTAAACAACGTAAAGCATGTTCACCAAATTGAAACAAAATCATGAACGATTTCCTTTTTGGATGCATGAATTAGGTTTTAATCTTAGAAACATGGGACTGTCTTGAATTTTAATTCTCTTAAAGGATTTTAATACATCAGTTTCATTATGCCCGTCTAACAGGTAGCAAACAAACTATCACACTACGAAGCACTTTTACACTTTTCATACGCAAGTTTCCTGAATTACGCTCAGACATGTGGTCAAAAATCCTTCCTTTCGCTTTTTCCAATGTTTGCACTTCGACACTTTCATGTGAATTGACATACTCAGTT